GGAGCCAGTCTCTGCACCCGCCTCTCACCTCCTGCAGCGCTGGCAAGTGGCAGCCTGCCTGCACACAAGGTTTGCAGAAGTGCCTACTAGCATTCACCTCGTAGTGAGCAAACTCCTGTGGCCCCGCATTTCCCCTCCGGCTAATCCGCGCACTCACCGACGCTGCAGTCAGCGCCGACGTAGCCAGCAGGACACTGACACGTCCCCGTGGTAACGTCACACAGGCCCCCGTTCCTGCACCTGCATGGCCTTTCACAGTTAGGGCCATACCACCCAGCGGCGCACTCTGGAGAAAAAAGAAACAGTGACCTCAGTGCCTAAAGGGAGAAGACCAAAGTGCAAACAGTGTGGAGGAGCCCCCGACATGTACTCGCTCAGCCGGTGCATCAGGAAGGCGGCAGACAGCTTTGCGAGAAATGGCTTCTCCACAGAAAACCCATGAAAGCACTTTTCAGTAGTCCCACGGCAAGCGCCACAACACTAAGGAGCGTTGCCTTTTGAGGAAACTCTGTTGACGGCACCAGCCAGCAAATTTCCCACAATTCCCACAACAAAGGGGAAACGGCAGAAATCTGGCCCCAGTGCACGAGAATGATTTTTTTGTTTACATGGCCTCCTACTTGCAAATTAGTCAGCAAGAGGCACTGCAGAGGTCAGAGCCGCTGTGTGTTTGCGCACAGGGACAGGCTCAGAAAAGGAGCAGGAAAACCCTCGCTTGGCCAGACCCATCTCTCGAGCCGTAAGAGCTGGGCAACAGTTAACTACCAAAAGGGGGGAAAAACCCTCAGCCACATTAATCAGGAGAAAGGCGCCGCAGCAAGAATCAGGAAAGTTAACCAGTCAAAACAAGTACTTTGCAGCCACTCCGAGGAGCTGCTTCATTTCCTGAGCTTGGCTAAGAGGCAGGCTGAGGCACGGCACTTCCGCCCCGGCCAGCGAGCTGGGACTGCTGCATGGACAGCGGCTTCCCCAGTGCCGGGGGTGGCCAGTCTGCACCGTGACCCTCGCTGCTGGGCTCTCCCGGGACGCTGCGGGCAAGCACAGCGCACAGCCTTCGGTGGCAACCTGCAGACTTTGATAAAGCACACGGCAAAACGGAGCCCAAACTCACGCAGCTGGCAATTCGGCCCGTGGTAGCCAGGAGCACAGACACACTCCCCTGTGACCGGGTGGCAGTCCTGGTTCGCTCCTGGACACTGGCAAATCTGACCACAGCTCTCTCCAAAGGTCCCGGGCAGGCAGGCTGTCAGGAGACAGATACCAAGGCAACACACAACTCAGTTAGTTAGTATGAACTCTCCCACCCCGGAACATAAGACTTTTTTTTCTTTTAAAGCCAGGACTAGAATGCTTTTTACTACAACGAAAGCTCTTTGCCACACAAAAAACAACGGGAACCGGTTCCCAGCATGGGAACAGTTCCTTCAGTCCAGCAACGACTCCGAAGAGAAAACTGAGGACTTAAAGACATTAGATGCCTTTGGCAATGCCAGCCCTACCTACCCTAGCTTATGTCCCTGCAAACCTCCATCCCAGCACATAAAGACATCACAAATATACCCATTTCCCCCAGGGAAAGAATGTGCTCACATGCCTCTGTCTCTTCCAGACTTGCTTGTACCCACAGGAGTTCATTTTAATTCTGATTTATTGCTAATCCTCTGGATAAATACATAGCTCTGATTTCCCACTTGGCTCGCTGTGCTTTGCTAAGATTATGTGGGCACGCACCCAGCTGCCAAAATGTGAGTTACTCTTTGGCAAAGCTTGCTGTTGGGTGTGGGGTGTTTTTGTTTGTTTTTTTTATTTTAAGTAGCAATTGCCTGACCACCGAGTTCCCAGAGTCTGTCATCAGAACTATAAGAGGATCGTTCCCTTCTTCGTACATTTTTCACATCCTGAACCTGTAAACCCTGGAGGGCAACCACACTGGCCCGTGATGTGATTGCAAGGCATTCCCAGGGGACAGGCGCAGCGGCTGGCACAGCTCTTCCCAAACGAACCAGGCAGGCAGGCTGTGGGAAACATGCAAGGAGACGTAAGTCTCTTGACTGCATTTCAAGTTATTGTTAATGCCTAAAAGTGTCAGAAGGAATTCTGGGGCCCAGAAATAAAGTTTAATTAAAAGGTTTAGTGTGATGCAGTTCTAGCCTGCTGTGAAATACCAAAGACATTTTCCTACTAAATGAATCAGTTAAAGAGATGTTGTGTGCTAACTGGGTGACTTCTGTCCAACAAATCATTAAGAAACTGATGACTAGTGAGCAAATCTCAAAGCTCCTCTACTGAACTTTCTATTCTCCCCACTTCCCCTTTTAGTATACTGAGACAGTAACTGGCAGGCTGGAAAAAAACACTTTCTGCATGGGCTTGGGAATGGCTACGCTGCCGTGACACCAAGAGACCATGCAGCCGCAGCTAGAGGCCCCTTCAGGTCTGCAGAAGCCAGCTCTTCATGCTATGCTGAGCCAGAACCCCTGCACTAGCAACCAGCTAGGCGGCATTTTTTGCAGCAACCCAAACACCCAAACACCTCTTTTAGCACATCAGCGCCTCCAAGTATCTTGTTACAATCTGTAACTCTTGAAAAAAAAGGGGTTTCTTCACCTCCCAGAATTGTTTTCCCAGAGCCAGAACCGTATCAAGCAGCAGCGTGGATGCCCTCCAGCTGAAGGACTGCACCGCTCACCTTTCTCACAGCGCTGGCCCCTCCAGCCACGGGGACAATCACAAGTGCCAGTGATGTGGTGGCACGGCACCTTGTCCCCACAGTCACAGTGCTCTTCACAGCGCGCTCCAAACAGCCCCTCTGGGCAAGCTGCAGAGATGCACATACAGAAGGAGAGAGGGCAAGTTGTACAAAACAGCTGACCGAGTTGTTATTTCACAGCACAGCCGCAGGCACGCCAATCACCGCCTTGTTTCTGTCCTTTCCGTTCCCACAAGTCAGAGGTAACGTTGTGACAAGTCAGGGGGGATCTGCGAGCCTGCAAAGGTATTACTGTGCTGGAGAGCGGTGCAGCTGGAGCGACCAGCACACTCTTGTCTTCGTTTCGGTGGGGACAGGCAGGACCAGCCAGCCAGCTCTGGTGGCTGCAATCCTTCGCTCAGCCCACAACAGGGACGGCATGGGGAAACAGCTGTGTGGCTTAGGGGTTTCAGTTGCGATCTGGAAGCATGCCACCAACTCCCACTGCTTTTAGGACTGTGAGTGTCTAAGCACCATCACCAACCAAACTCTGGATTCTCTGCTGAGACCATCACCCCGGGCTAACCAAGATGAACTGTCCTGGCTGCTCATATGCCATGGTACAAAGCTGTCAACTAGGAACAAGCTCATGTCAAAGACGCCATCAGATAGCCTCCAGACAGTAAAACCAGTGCTCCTCAAGGTGCAAGAGAGTGAAGCACTGGAGCTCACCAGCTGTGCCTAAACTGCAAGCCTGGAACCCCAGGGCGCGCTCCAAAGCCGTGTCCTCTGCCCCAAGCCGCGCATTGAGAAGGCCCTGGCACACATCCCCACTGCTTTCCTGCCACGACGAGGTTTCTCCCAGCTGGGTCTGTGCATTTGGTGCACGCAGAGGTCACCAGCTGCCAGGAAGCTCTTCGCTCTCCCCAGCAGCAAGCCTCAGAGCCACCGTGCACAGGAGAGCCTGTTCCCTTCATCTTGCTTTGTGATTCCTGCTACTGATCAGCTTGTTTTAATGAGGCCTTCCTTCTCCCCTGCTCCTGAATCTTCTACTTGGCTAGCAGGCTCATAAAGGCTGTAGTATCAAATTCAGCCCCAAAGGAGCAGAACCACTACCGACATTCATGGAGTTCTGCACACTTGCCTCAAGGGTGAACTTGGCACAACCTGCTGAAATCGTGACATCCCTGTTGTCTTTGAGACAGGTTAGATGACGTCAGAAGCTTTACAGGAGTGCAGAGGCAAAACTAAACTAGGTACTAGGGAGGAAAGAGTTTAGCCATGCAAGAGAGAGGAAAAGGAAGTTGCGAACAAAGCAAACTGGTCTTTGTGTAAATACTGTCTCATGCCTAATTTGGTGGAAAGTCTCTAACTGTGCCAAATGTTTTCGGAGTGTTACTTCTGGCACTGTTTGATGAGAGCTGGGTGCCAGCATAACATATTCTCAGTCATGGCTGCAATGGTTTAGTTTTGCTGTGGCTTCTGTTGTCAGAGAAGTACCTGGTTTCTAAAGCAGATGCAAACCAGAATGCAGTACCAGAATTATACAGCAGTTAGCGCTACAGGCACAAAACCTATGAGGCTAATTTGCAGTTCTGCATCATGAGTGAGTGTAAAAATTCCATAACTTCTTGTACAACTGTCAAAACAGGTTTCTTGTCTGTGCAAGAGCCTAGTTTGCATATGCAATTGTGATGGGAGTATGGTTGCACAGTGCACACAGCTAGGCAGATATTTGCACATACACACATTTTGAAACATAGCCCTTTAGGAAGCCAAATACAGGACTCTAGTTTTTGTTAAAAAATGGTACACTGTTGCTGAGTTGTGGGGTGGGGAGGTGTTTCATTTTATCCAAAAGAAATTATAAAAGTGAAACTCCGCCGATGTGGTCAGCGCAAGCAGCTCTGGGCAGGATGACGTAGGAAAAGTCCCTGTGCAGTGCAGTGTCACTGCAAATTGCCATTCTGGTTATGATGGCCAGAATCCTAGCAGCACTGGGAAACCAAAAACGCCCTGAAAGCCAGCCTTTGTAATTGCAGCCCTGGCAGTTTAAAGCTGACTTGAGAAAAGGGACCTCCCTAAGAGGATGATTCCAGGCATAGGGTTTTGAGAGCATGTGGCATCAAGCTGGGGTGTGATGATGTGCGCTGAGGCTGACTTCAATAGGCAGAGAGAACCACAGGGCTTGCTTTTGGACAGTAAAGTGAGACGAGGGGTGTTACAGGTCCCAAAGCTGCCCGGAGCTGTCCCAAACCTCCGTACGGCACAGAGCTGCTGGCCAAGGTCCAAAGCAAACCCCATGTAGCGAGCAGGCTCTACGTGGCAAGCTCTGGGAGTTCTGCAATCTGAGTTTGACTCTGTGGCTAAATCTCTCCTGTCCAGTCAAACTGGCAGGATAAAGAGGACCACCCCATGGCACTGCCACTACTGATGTGCATCATGATTTCAACACGGACATACTCTGGAACAACGGCAACAGACAAAATGCAAACCTTCAGCCTGCCAGAGCATCTCAGCAGCCGAGCTCACTTGCACTTTGCTGAACGCTCCATATCTTACTTGAAGGAGGTAAGAGGTAAGAGGCTTTTGAAACTTTGGCTCCACCTAGGAGCCAAAACACCTAAGAGTTTTCAGATCTGATATCTCAGGAAAATTTATCTTGCACTTTTCACAAATCCCAAAGAACACTTGAGCGTTGGGATAGCCAGAGTAGAAAAAAAAAACTGCTTAGTAATGGTTAAATTATTAAAACTATAAAAAAGCAGAAACTGAGGGATTTAGCGAATGGGATCAAGAACTAGCACAATCCTGGACCATGATCTCCAAGCAGAGAGAGGGCCATTCTCTCAAGAGGGTGTACTTGGTTCAGAATAAGGACACACAGGCAACCTCCTATTGCTGGAATCTGGGCAACAGCAGTAGCGTGTGGTTGCTGCATGCACTGCTGCAGCTGGTCAGCACAGGATTTGGGAGTTGGTCAGGAGCTTAAATACTGTACAGCTCGGACTGACAGCTGTGCCACAGAACCTGCACTGCTACCGCTTTCAATGCTAGATTTGATATCACATTTTTGATTGCAGGATGGACACACTCTCAAAGGGTTGAAGAAAGGACCCAGGAAGAATTTTAACATTTCTCAGCTTTGCAAAGCTTTGAAACAGTGTTTGAAAGTTGCTTGCTCTTCATTCCAGATCAGGAAATGCTCTAAAAACTTCACGTTACAAGTCACAGTCCTGCTCTAGCTAGTGAGTTCTCGACCTAGGTGGCAAACCAGAGAACAACAGCAACAAAGCCCTGATGCAAAAAAAAAAAAAAAATCTCCAAAGGAAGACATTCCCAGGCAAGAAACTTGAGAGCACCTTGATGTGCCGGATGGCAGACTGCAGTGGGGAGCTCACTTATGACAAGTAATGTCACCAAAGATGTGCCTTTTACATTGCAATATGAAGAATATACCAGCCTGAGGTGTCACGACCTGTGAAAGAGGAAGAAGCTAGTGGATCCCTTCTCGGTGGTCTGATACTTGATCAGCTCTTGGCTGCTGCTTTTAATAAGGCCAACAGCCTTTTCAGCACTTCCTCATAGCAAAGGGATTGCCAGGGTATGCGTTACATTTAAAGATACGGGGAACATAACAGTCTGTAGAATGACAGATATAATTATTGGCTGGGGCTTAGGACCAAAGCCAGGCATTTTGGGTCAGTGCAATCAGGCCAGATGCAGGTAAGTGTAGAAGCAAGAACATACAGGAGATGATCTCCAGCTACTGTTAAAATAAACGACCTTTTGGTTTTACTGCATTGGCTTCCGTGTCAGACAGGTACCGGGGGTACCTGCTGCGATGCGTTGCATCCCTGAGCGGAGCCTGTGGCCCCGCACTCATGCCTGGGAGCAGGGCAGCGGCCTCAGGCCCCGGCGCCTGGGGGAGCCTACCCCTCTCCTGCTGGCACCGTCCAGAGTGGTTGTGCAGCCCCTCTATGTACCTTTGCCTCTAGTCTACTTTGCCTTTGCCTTACTACCTTTGCCTTACTCTAGCATTTCTGAGTGCCTCTAGAGCAGCCCTCAAAGGAAAGTAGAAAGCACAGCAATGGGAAAACTAGTCTACACAGCCCAAACCACAGCACCTACAAGCTCTCCTCTGAGCGTGGAAATCCAAATTGTATGTCTTTACTTAAAAATTCCCTGGCATTTAGAACAGACTTGTAAAGCACCAGGTCACTCTTCCAGAATGAGGTGGCCATCTGGAGGACGTGTGTGCCCCACTTACGGCTTTCGCACTTCTCGCCGGTCCATCCGGGCGGGCAGAGGCAGTGCCCCTTCCAGCGGTCGCACCGCCCGCCGTGCTGGCACTCGCAGCTCCGCCGGCAGTCCGCCCCGTACTGCCCCTGCGCGCACTCTACGAGGAAGCACAGGGCAGGAATGTAACCCTCACGTCCACACACAGGAAGACACACGCACGAGGACAGTCAATCGATAGGATGGGTTTTAGTCAGTCATGGGCACACATCCCCAGCTGCAGTATATGCCATTCCCCAGCTTTCAGAGAAAACGTTTTCAAAATGGGACAGCTTTGTGCCAGAGCCCACTTCTGAGCGCGCCCAGCCGCACCTTACTTACCCAGCTCGCAGGCCAGTCCTGTCCACCCCTCAGGGCAGGCACAGTGCCCTGTGACGGGGTCACACCTTCCACCGTTTTGGCAGAGACACTGCTGGAGGCAGTTCGTTCCATAGAAACCAGCTGGACACACTGAGGGAAAATTGGTCCAAACAGCCAAGTCAGAAAACAGCTCCTGGCACTGCCTGCCATGTGCAAACACCAAGCCTTTGATAGCACACCAAGGGAGCAGGTGGACAGCCTGATAGAAAATGAAGCCATTATTGTCTGCAGTGAGAGGCAGGGAAGGAGCTAATGACCCTCGGAGGCTGCTTAGCTGCCCACACAGAGAGCTCGGGTATTTTACCATGCTCAGGAAGGAGGCGTTGATGCCACAGGTGACTGGGTGGAAAGTGGAACAAAAAAACCCCAAACCTAAACCAAACGCAACCCCCACCCCAACCCAGCACAGAGCAGACTGAGTAATTGAATACAGGATGAACCCTGTAGCTATACGTATTATCTGTAATTAAACCCGAGTGGGTGTTGCTGGAAAAAATAGCTAAGCTTTTGAGTATGTATCACAGGTACAGAAAACATTCTGTAACTTTCAAGCCCCTCTCAGAGGTTGCCCAGCCTCTGTGAGCCCTTCGGCAGCTTTGCGGTGGTGCTGGTGGCACCGAACAGCCCCAAGCTGGACACTTCCAGCGGCTGGAAGCGCAGCCCCAACCACCACAGAGACTAATGATGATCACAGCATGAGTGTATGCCAGACTTCTTTGCCTCAGTATTTTCCCCTGCTCAAACTTTCGCTATGAAGCTTACTGCTTTCTGAAAGGAAAGCCAGGGGAAGAACGGTGTAGCTAGTGGAGCAGCCAGAAAGAGAAACGGTGTCCTCAACAGCTTGCTTGCAGAAACCTAGCCCAGACTACTTTCCTCTGCGGCGCCCTTTGGCAGTGAAATGGAAGATCAGCAACAAAGCTTTTGCCCTGCCCCATCTGCTCTGGCTTCCAAATCATTTTGGGAGGCTTCTCTAGTTAGGAAGTGCCACCCTAAGAAAATGCTGAAAGACCCAACACAGTGATAAGGGAAGGGAAGGGAGGAAGGGGAGAGGTACCGAAAACCTGTCACGCTGCTAAGGAAGCTCAGGGAGGTCCCACAGAGGTGGCAGTAAGCAAGCTGCAGCGCTGGAGATTTACACCCTCTGGAACAAAGAGGGTGGTTTTGGCTCAGCTACCAAGCTACATGCTTTTCAATTCCCTCACCGTCTAAACAAAGCTTGGCAAAAGGTTGCTATGAACCTGGCTTTTTCAAAGGCCATATGAAGGGGTCTTTCATAACAGCAAACTTGGATGACATGAACTAAACAGTGAACTCCACTTGGCCTGTATTTTCCTGTGTTTGCTTTCCCATTAGTGAAGGGATTTGTGTTCACTTTCCTCGTCCTGCAGGGAGGTTCACAACCCTGTGTGAGCTGGGAAGTCCCAAACCAGGACATACTGCAGACCTGCCAGGCCCAGTTATGGCTAGCAGGTAGGTAAGCAGAGACAGAATACAAACTTTAGAACCTGTGCTCCTATTTTGGGGAAACTTCCTTAAAGTTTAAGAGGCCAGTAGAAGAGTCACTTAGTGAAACAGAATTTAAACAACCCATCAGTGTGTCTGATATCTTTGGCGGTAGCAAATATAGAAAACAAAAAAACGTCGGGTGAGTCAGCAGCCATGAAAAACGCTCAGTTGGTAATCGATGACTTCAGTCCTGAGTTGCAGAACATCCTCAACTTCTAGACCCAGGTAGCACCACTGCTTAACAGGCAAAAAGCATTTAAGCACGCAAGTAACCGTTGTCGTCTGCACAATTTCATTAAGCTTGCTTGAAAGCATTGCTGGCTTAGTGCCTGCATGCTCAGTGCAGTGGAAGATGAAGCCTTATTCTATGTGTTGCTACAAACTGCAAGTCAAGCAATTTCTGGTGCTCTTGGAGAGGGTAACCTTTTGACTTCTGTCTTTATGAATGAATTAGTAAGTGCTGCACAACTAAGAATGATATTATTTGCAGTCTTGTCCTGCTATCATACTGCCTCAGCTCTTGGGAGGTGCCAGCCTATTGAAAACTCTGACCCATCCAGAAAAATGGCATTTTTAGTGTACATTGGCACAGTTTTCCCTCAGGCCGAGCAGGCAGACAATCTGGATTATCAAGTGACATTAAGCTGTGTTACCTTGCTGGCATGTGAGTCCTGTCCATCCAGCCGCACAGAGACATTGGCCACTAACATGGTCACAGGTAGCGTTATTGGAACAGTTGCACGTCTGACTGCAGTTCTCACCGTAACTGTTCTCCTGGCATGCTTCATGGAATCAGAAGTAGGCATAACTGTTAGATAATAGGTATTAATTACATCATCCAGACTCCTGCTAATGATCCAAAATGCACTTGTCTGGAAGAACAACCAACAACCAGACTGACCCAAAATGGTGCCTGGCAAAGTTGGAATGGTTGTGTAAGTTGTTTTTTATGGTGTCCTGGAGAAATAACAACTGTATCCTACATAGGGCTGACACTGATACAACCGTACACACACAAGCACTGTTGTTACATCAGCTTATCTACTAGGAAACTGTTTTGCCCCAGCCCTAGTTACATGCAGCAACAGCTGCTCAGACAGAGAGCCATTCAAATCTTCTGGAAGTAACCCCCCCCAGACAGAGAATATTTGTCAAAAGAGTCCCCTAAGGCTGGGAAGTCTGCTTCAGATAAACACTGAGCAGTCCAGGTCCAAAGCACCTCTGAACTGTTTTAGCCTATAAAACTTGAATAAGAAGCTTGTAAGAATAGACTCTTCTGAGATTTTCTGGTATTTCCTCCTTGGCGTCATAAGAGATGCAGCACAAAAAATTGCCCGTCTTGGCACTTACATTTCTGGACTTGGCCAGAATCTGGCGGTATTAGGCAAATGTAAAAAGAGATGTAAAAATGACAAAAGCTAAGTCAGCATTTTAGTGTCTCCCTCAGGGCTGAAGTTATATAAGACAGTGGGGCTCACCCTTTGTACTTGGCAGTGCTAATCTTAGCAACAAAAAATACAATTAAATAAAAGCACATAAACTAAAATATGCAAGCAACCCTGTAGAGGGAAAACAAGCAGGGCGATAGGAGACTGTGATGTCTGCTTACAATCCAGTTTCTACTGGACACATGTACATTATAAATGTATGCACACACACACATACACACGGTCTCGACTACAGTTGAGTTGTTAGAAGAGGCCGTGTGAAGATCTGCCCATTTATGCAATCTGCAGAACTCCAGACTCCTCTTCGAGGACACTCTAGATGAAGGGGCAAAGCCAGTTCCCTCTGCTGGTCCATGTACTTGCTGGTCCTTTTGCAAGAATGTTCTGAATGTAACATTAAACAAGTTACGTCTACAAACACATGCTGTCTGGCCCCTCTCGGAAACCAAATTCTTCTCTGCAGCTCAGAATTAACTTCTACACACAGAAAATTACATGTGGGGAATAAAGACCTAAACCTCCAGTCTCAATGATCTAGTAGCAAGCGAGACAGACAAGGCTCCCACGCGCTTTCTTGAGAGCCGGGTTTTTGACTAGCTCTACCATCAGATGCACCTTAGCTGGATGAGAGCGCAAGGCCAAAGCGACACCTACTCTGGTTACAGCTGGGGCCAGCCCAGCCTGGAGGGCAGTGGCACTGGCCTGTTGCGTGGTCACAGTGGGCTCCATTCAGACATTTGCAGGTTTCCTGACACTCTAGTCCATAAAATCCATCTGGACAGGCTGTGAAAAACAAAAAAGAAAAGCCCACCCAAATGTCTTTCTTTATAAATGTCAGTCTGTACAGAGGCTGGGAAATTTCCCAACAAGGAGGAGATACTGCTCAGTAGCTTTTTTGCTGATAAAATGCTGTGCAAACGTGACAACGTTGTAAATCACTTGTTTCCCTGACAAGGCAGCAGAATATTAGATGCATGTTCATTATGGGAATTCAAGGCCCACAACAAAGTTCTGGCGGATAAGAACAGCAATGGCACTAGGTTTCTGTCCACCAGGAGATGACCAGTTTGCTAAGTGGGCTGCAGTGACCCCTTTAATAAGCACCCTGGTACTTGGAGGACATGGGCGTGTTTGTGTGGACTTTGAAGGCATTCTGCCTTCGGAGACTTGGCCTGCGGTGTGCCTCAGCTAGCAGAGTTTGTCTTAGCACTGCATTCTCACTACCAGGCGGCAGCTGCAGTAAAAAGCCAAGGCAAGTAATCAGGGTTTCTGCTCGAGCATAATGGAAAAGCAAGTGTAACAGCTAAGCTAACCAAGGCAACTGTGCACATACTCCTTGCTTACAGGTTGTTATTACTTTTTCCTAGACCTTTTCTCTTCAGAGTTAGAATCCAAGGAGAGAATTAGCAGCTTATGGCTATGCAGTTCTCCCCATTACCATCCAGATGCGTTCTCTCAAACAAGGAGCACAGATCCCATTGCCAAGGAGATGTGATATGTGAGAGAGTTTTACAGCTTCCAGTTCCCCCAGCAAAGGATACTTACTGTGCTCACAGAACGTGCCTCTCCAGCCTGAGCTGCAAGTACATGCGCCGCTGACGTGGTCACACATAGCCGCATTGTCACATTGACACTGCTGTCGGCAGTTCAGTCCAAACCATCCTTCTGGACACTCTAGCAAGCAGAAGCAAAAAAGGTTGAGGAGCCTGTCTTTTCCCAGCTTCTCCAGGAAGCTATGCTAAGGCAGGAGCTCAGGCTCTGAGTGGAAATAATAGGATTTGGGCTCTATCCTACTCTTTACAAGTGAGTATCTATGTCACCAAATCACCCATGAGAGCAGGATTGTACTGGCAACATCACAGATTGGGCATAGGAACTGAATTTCTGCTGTTGAACTGAGGAACTAATGCTGGTGAAAGCTGTGCTACGGATTTCTCTGGTATCTTTACAGTGTAAAGGCAAAAGTCTGCTGGACTGCCTATCCAATGCCTTTCCCCTGCAAAGCAAACCTGTATAATTCGACTTGGCTTAAAGCTGACATGAACAGCTTGTTGGCAGCACTCACTCTTATCACAGTGGATTCCTGTGTAACCAGCTTCACAGATGCACTGCCCTGTCACCATACTGCAGCTCCCATCACTGTTGCTGCAGTTGCAAGCGTTAGCACAGTCCGGGCCCCAGCGACCTGTGTCACAGGCTGAAAGAGAGGAACGAACATATTCTTAATGCCGTGCTTAGCTTCCCAGGTGAGCAAAGGTACAGGAACAGCTCTTCTGTCTCCTCAGGGTATTACTTCCACTGAATAAAACTGCTCGCATCGGCAGTAGGAGAAACATGGCTGTAGGTTCTCAGGAAATGCAGTGGGGACAGCGAGAGTTTCTGCTACTTTAGTACATTTTTTCATGTGAATTTATTCTGCAAGCAAACCCACTACAGAAAGGAAAACAGAACTGGGAGGCACTGGCAAAAGCAGAGAAGCTTAAAGGATTTTGCAGAGATTTTTCTGTCAGAGGCACAGCACAGAGACGATGATGAACTGAATCACAGCGTAGCTTTACACAGGTCCGTCTTCTATGAGCAATGCTTAATAAACAGAGGGTACAATACCTCTTCTGCAGTTATACCCTGTCCAGCCAGGTGCACAGCTACACTTCCCTGTCACAGGATGACAATGTCCATCATTCCCACAGCTGCATCTCTGCTGGCAGTCTGCACCGAACCACCCAGGTGGACACACTGCCAAGGTAAACATATACTAACTGCAAACTGTTGCTGGGACGCTGGTGCAACAGCTTCATTCCTGACAAACCTTATGCGTACTAGAGTGTGGTTCTCCAGAGCGGTCATGGGCACAGGCGCTCCTTGTCTGAGCACTGATGCTCAGTTCTGGGCTGAATGGGCATAAGTACGTAAGGATTTATGTCCCTTTCTTATGATGGAAAAGGTACCCATAGGAGCATAGGACTAGAAGGATCTCAAGGGACAAACCCAGTCCGCACCCCAAGGCCTGAGGCAATGCACTGCGGTGTGGGAGCACACAACGCTAAGCACTGTTCTGAGGACTGTGTTGGTGACTGATGGGTAACCAAATGCTCTCCTCACTACCGCACACTGCAAGCTAACCTAAGGGAATCATCATCCCAGTTGAACACAGCCATTCAGTCGTGACGAGCCCGGCTGGTGCACAGCACTCACCATCCTGGCAGCGACTGCCAGTGTATCCCGGTGGGCACACACACCTCCCTGTGGCAGGATGGCAGCTGGCGTTGTTAGCACACTCAGGACAGATCTCCTGGCAGCCCAGTCCCCAGTGACCATCAGGGCAAGCTGGAGCACAGGCAGAGACAGAGGACAGTCAGCTCATCACTCTAGTTCAAAGCGTACTTAGCAGAGCAAAAGCTGCCAACCTGAAAAGCCCTGGAGGATGAGGGTTGTCTTAATCCCTAGAGCAGCAGCAGCAGCAGGGCAAGCTCCCCTCCTCTGCCCCAAGCAGGTGCTGCAAAGGCCACCACTGAGGACCTGCAGGGGAGCATGAGGACAGGCACAAGCACCAACAGCAGTGCAGACCCTGGGCCAGGACAGCCCAAGAGTTGCTGCTGCTGCTCTTCGTGCGGACAAAAACAAAAGCTAAAAAGCTCTTCAACACCCATATCATCCTAAAATCTGTGTAGGGGTTCTTTTTTTTTTTCTTAGCACAAAGAAATCTGGAAGAAACCTAAGAGACAAGTTTCCACGACTGGTCCTATATGACCCCCTAGCTGGTCCTATATGACCCAAGTGAAGCTTGGGTGCTTTCAGCCCTGTCCTCTTTCAGCTGAGCGCAGTTGGGTGTAGACAAGACATACTTACCAGCTGCTGGGGCCACTTACGTAACAGTCTTTACAAATTTTGTCATCTTGCACGGTTCCTGTCTGTCTGAAACACTGCTCTCTTAGCAGCCAAAAAAGTTCCTTCTGTTCTGTCTGAATAAAGGAGGCAAAGCTTTTCCATACCCGGGACCAAAAGCATGCATATTATCTCCAGAGTGTCCATTGATGCCTTGCAAATTGGAAATGCTAATCAAGCCTGCTTTGTCCTTTATGGGCAGTGGATCAGTTCAGTGTGACTCCTTGACCAGAGTCAAGTAAATGGCATAGCGTCTCAACCACCAAGCTACCTCTGATAGGCATCTTGCATAGTGTTCTCCACAAAGTAAAACCATTCATCTATGGCCAAGGAATTTTAGTGGCAATACTTCAGGTACAATTAGAAAGCTGGCATAGGACTTCTACAGTTCAGGCTCCTAAACTTTCTGGACTTTTGACCTTTGTCATTTGTTGCCAACCACCATGCACTATTGTCATCAAGCTTCTAATTAAACATAATTATGTAGCATAAGCTACATAATTCTGCAGACTAGCTGTGGAACATTTCCCTTGTGGATATCCAGTAGTCAATGGGCCACAATTTGGGAATTACTACCTTGAGAGCCCTCTGGAGACCCAAGGCATATGGAAATGTACTGCTGATTAAGGTGCTGAAAAACCATGGTGCAGTACATGAGCTGACGCTCAAGGGGAGCAAAGGAAGAACAGCATTACGACAGCCTGGAAACACCCTGGGTACATAGAGGGCACATGGGAGCCTGAACCTTCAAGGAAGATGCACAGCGTCATCTCCCACTCTTTCTAAAAGTTCAGTGCCAACTGATGATGGTGCCTAAAACACTGCAGAGGTGAGGTAGTTCTGGGAGCCATTCTGGATCACGTACTAGAGGTAAGACTTAAGTGTCTATTTCGTCGTGCACTGAAATGGGCTCCCTTTCCTGTCAGTGCTTTATGCAAAACATACCCTTTTGTTTGGGAATACCTGGCCACCAGTAAGGACAATATTGTTTTGTTTGTTTTATAAATAGCATGTAAGTCTTCAGTAAGCGCTAACCTGATCTCATTCCAGTATTTCCATGTCAATTTTGGATTTGTATCTACTTCTGGTAAGCTACAACTGCTCCTTGCAGGAAATGGTGTTTCTGGCAAAGAGTCCTTATAGATGCCGTCACTCTGCTAGACAGCACATTATTCAGCGTTTCCAAGGTCTGCCTTTAGTTGCAAAAGGGAAGCAAAAGGCTAAGACCTGATAAAGCCGGGATAAGAATCCTTGTTTAACTGCTCCAGGGCCTTGAAAGAAGTCAGTTCCAAATATTGAGAAAGTACTGTGCTTGTGCATTTTTATTGTCAAACTCTAGAACCAAGCATTATATATGACTAATATCTTCTAGCTGCTGTAATACTACATGACTGTGAAAAAGTATAGGTTTTTAATTTAGGATTCTCTAGTTTTCCAGCAGTTAAAGAGTAATATAGTGAAGTCAATGAAAAATATATATCTGTAAAGAAAGACTCCTTACCTATGTTTAAGGACAGCAATAACTGAAAATATCTTTATTCATTGCATATGTTGTTTGCTTACGTGTTTGTACTTCATTCAGCTTCAACAACAGAGCTAAGCTAGCTGATTCTCCTGTTGAAGACTTAGGATCTAAAGTTGCATTTTTTTTCTAAATTTCCATGAAGATGATTCCAATTGCACTAGATGTTTTTAAAATTGACTTTAACAAAAGAAAAAGAAGCAATTGCATGTCTAAATCCCTAGCCTCAGCTCATCTGTTCCTATTGCTTTCTCACCTTGTCCGCAATCATGTCCTGTCCAGCCTGGCAAACAGATGCACTTGCCAGTGGTGCGGTCACAGGGAGATCCCCCACATGAACAGGAGAGCAGACAGTCAACTCCAAACCTTCCTTCTGGGCATTCTGCATGTAGAAGAGCAGCGTTAACATTGTGGGTTACTGAGACACAGCTTCCAAGAGAATATTCTCAGGCAATTACTGATCAGATCCTGCACGCCAAAAGGAGAAACCTTTGATTCCATGAGGAAATTACAGTTGTTAAAGGTTTATGTAATGCAAGGAAGACTGTGCTAACAGGCCCAGATGTGACCACTCTGTTATCCACACTGGTCACCGTATTTCCTCGCAGGGAGGGGTTCTGGCATTTCATAGCACTACCTTTATTTTTTCTGTTTGAATGTCAGTGCGCTGCTTGTCCTTTCAACAAGTATTCCTCCATACAGCAATGGCTGATCACCTGCCCAGCAGCTGAGGCCAAGCCACTCTCCACTCATTCCTGCATTGCTGCTCCATGGCGGGCAGACAGAGCTAGCAATATTGCCGTGCCACTGCAGGGGCCAATAGCTTGGTAAGCAGGTCATGGAAGAAGCACTTCTGCTCACGCTTTGAGATACACATATTCATCTCACGCGAACTGAACCTGAGCAACTCTGCACTTCATATGCTGGGGTGCAGATGCGCATCTATGTCAAAGCACCAGGTGCTCAAGATCCAAAACTGTACCATCCCTCAGTTTTTGCAAGATACTGTGAGAACTTTTCACTTCTGTGGCTGAATGCCTCAGGAATCTGGAAGGTGAGCTTTTAAGCAGCAACATTCACAGCAGGTACACTGATGTGAAGCAATAAAGAAGAGGCATCCTCATCCACAAGAGGAATAAAGACTTTGCCTTCTCTCTGCTCTGAATGGCAAGATGATACTGCTGATGCGAGAAAGCTCAGCTTGCTTTTTGTACCCCGTGACCCAATTTAGCAGCTAGTTAATTACAGCAGAGGGCCTCAGACCCAAAGATCCTTAAATTCTATTTGAGTCTCTCAGGAGAGCCCCATGCTTGCTGTTCTTTTTGTTCAAAAAGCCAATGTTTCATAAGGCTCGGCAGACATAAACACGCCAGCATTCAGAAATAATGAAGGAAAAAGCATACCAGCTTGTAGATATAAAATGACACAGTGGAGATTTTTGTTATTCCTGCTCTTTGCTAATTGATGGCAGATGTTCATCTTCACCCTTTAATAATTTCCAGATCTGAACAACAGCCAAAAGCCTACTATTTCAATACAAATATTTGTGTTATTTCCTGTGACTCTCCCCTAAAGGATTAAGTTCCTTTCTTATTCTTTTCAAAAATATCCCTGCTGAAAGTGCCCAACCCCCCAGAGCAGCTCAGTGGCTCCGGAGGCAGCGAGTGTCCTGCCACGTGGAGGATGGGAGGCCAGCAGTGGCCTCAGGAAAGACCCCTGCTTCCCAGGCTGCCGGGAACTCCGTGAGGAAGCACAAGCTTTGCATAAGCTCTCTGCATCTCTCCTCATCAAGTTAGTTTGACCTTTTAGCACTTGCTTAAATAGTTACGCTCAGGAGGAGGAGAACAGTCCTACCAAAGGGGTGAAATGAATGCACGCAAAACAAGGTGTATGGGAAGGATAAACTGTAGCAACCTATAGCTGTGTTGAGTCTGTGCTGCGGGACAGCGTGCCCTGCCGTGCCCTGCAGTAACGCTAGCTCCGAGCAGAAAAGGAGGGCCGAGGGCGTGCTGAGCAGCCCTGCCTTTCAGCGGAGCCGAGCCGCTCAGATGCAGCCGTGAACTGATGGGCTCCTCTGCTTCCAGCTCTAGCACAGCCTCAGCCCCTCTCCCTCCTGTGCTCCATCGCACGGTGCAGGCAGTGCCGTTGGTCACCCTGAACACGGACAGACCCGTGTGGGCAGAGGCTGGAGGGAGAGGGGAAGAATCAGGATGTCCTTCCACCCTTACCGCAGTATTATGCCTCTAACTTTTGCCTTTTCTCCAGGCAACAGCCCTTCAGACTAGCATCTCTCAGAGACAGAAGTTGGTAAATACCGGAAAATGCTGCTTGCCCAGAGTGGAAAGATGGAAAAAGTGGAATCATTAGTACTATCTTCTGGAAATGTCATTCGCACATCCTGTACTGGGATGGAGAACACAACCAGAAATTGAAATATCAGCTGGTGTTGGAAACTCCTAACTAGTCAGTTCAGACATGCAGTTCACTTACAAGATGGGGTTAGCTCCCAAGTTTGAATTTCTTGAAGAGTCTAAGGCTGGGCATTATCCCAACTTTCATTCAGACTGAAAAAGCTCACAAAAATGATCTCCAACTGTCTAGGGTCTATTACCTCCAGTCAGATGTGTTTTTGACATAGCCACTTATATTTCTGGATGGAATCAGGAAGACTATGAAAGCAAAACTCTGTTACGGGGGAATAATAAAACAGAGCAACCAGAAAACATCAAGCTGACTTAGTGAAAATTATGAGTGAGACAGTGTCTGGGCTAGGATTGTTTCTGACTTCTGCAATTTCTTTTCACAGACTTGTATTACTTAAACTACCAAGTTGATTGGTACGAGGACATTCCTGCCAGGAGAGTGAGCAGATTGCAGGGCATTAAGCACAGTGCTGCAGCTTATCAAGATAAACTGTTCACTGTCAGTTGCTTTACAATGAGATCGAGCATTGATATAAGTGAAACTTGTTTTGTTTTATTGCAACTTTTTGTGGCAATCTGCAGCTTTTGTTCTGACCAAAAGAACAACTCTGCTCTATGTGTTAAGGTGTTACGCAAGATAATCACATGCTAGCAACTTAATTAGGTTAATAGTTGTAACGTCTGGGTTGGGCATGGATGGAATGTCTGGTTAAAAATAAGCAAGTGCAAAAACTCCTGGGATGCTACAGCCAGAACGCAGCTACTGAACGCCACAAGCCTCTGAATGCAGCATGTCTAGTCCATGCCTGCAGAGTACAACGTTTTGCGTTTTCTGTCAGACCCAGCTGAAATGTGACTAAGAAGAAAACAACCTTGTGACAGGGGAGGATGGCTTTTCAACTCTGGATCAGCTCTGAGGCTGGCACACATCATTATTTTCCAACAACTGTGTTCATGTTTTCTAATCATCGCCTCAGTTTTCATGCCAATGATTCACTCAAATAATTTCAATGGAAAAAAAACCAAGCTCTCTAACACCCCAAATATCTCCCAGGAGTTTGCAAAGCTACTCCCTCCGAGTGCAGTACACTGCACACAGAGAGCCATGTAGTTTACTTATCATATTGCTGACTGGCCCTTTAACTGAAGAGCAGAAAACTGGTAAGAGGTTCATACAGAGGCCAAAGTTAAAATCCTAATGTAAATGAAATACAACATTTTCTTTCCACTTGCAGATCAAATAGAACTTTAATATGGAATAGAGAAGAGAATGGAAAAATTTGATACCATTCTGCTGGGAAGTAAAAAGACATCAAAGGGGGAAAAGATAACTAGATATAATCTTCATCTACAAAAGGAAAGATGCCCTAGTGGCAGGATAAAGCGAGACCTTGTTCTCCTTCTCTGGGTAAGAATCATTATGCACAAGAATTTCTGCTTCCCTGCTTTAAAGAAATTGCAGTGTTTTGATGCAGACCTGCCAATGGCAGCTCTTGTATCATCTAAAGCCACTCCAACTCTCCACCCATTAGATCAAGTGCAGTGGGCTAGGAGGTCTGAATAGGTATTAATGGTATCTGGGGAGTCCTTTCATGTTGTTTTGCTAAGACGGAGCCTGCATGTGTGAGGCAGAGTGAGCTCTCCCTGACTCCTCAAGAGCGTGCAGGCTGCTTAGATAGGAAAGCTAAGTAACCTAACAAAGTACTGAAGAAAGGGGTTTGAATGCTTTGGACCCGAGGAGAATGACAGGAGAAACCCCTCCAGATTCATTTCTGAAATTCACAAAACCTTCTTGGAAGCAAAGATGAAATAAATGGGAGCCAAGCTTTGGCTAGCTAACACAGGCAGCATGTCATGGCAGAGCACCAGTTACCTGGCTGTGCAGGGGCAGGGAGCCGTTTCAGATGCAGTTCAAATGCGATCAGCTCCCTCAATCCCTGCGCTGGTTTGGAACTCTTCCAACGCAACAGGCGGAAGAGCAGAGCTCAGCAGAATTCAGACGAGACGCTGGAGAGAACGTTACACAGAAGAGACGTACACGTGCCTTGCAGGGACCCTGCTCCTTATGGCCTTACCTTGATCACAGTTCTCCCCGTGGTAACCTCGGGGACCCTCTTTCCAGCACTCTCCAGTAACATGGTCACAAGACACTTCTGGACGGCAGGCACATTTCTTCTTGCAGCCATCCCCATAATAGCCAGGGTCACATTCTGTTAACAGTCATGATTAAAAAGAAAGAATATTCAGTATTACTAGACTGGTCCTGGAAGAGCAGGCAGCACAACACGAATGTCAGAGCAATGGCCATGGACCAGCTCCATACTGAGCCAACAACCGGACACAGCAGGCTGGACAGGGTCACCCTCTTCGTCTACACGCACTCACATCCAGCTGGACAGGTTCTGGCATGCTAACTTAACTTGACTGAGTCTGATAACCAGCTTTGTTCCTAAGCTAAATAACAAGAGGGGAGATGGTCTTAGTGGGACGGAAAATAAGCCCAAGATAATTAGTTAGGGGAAAAGAGGTTGTAGGAGGAGAAAGGGTGTTGCTTCATGAATCCTGCTTGACAACTCACTTGTCTCACACCACTTGCCACGGTAACCAGGTCTGCATGTGCATGAACCATCCTTCTTGTCACAGTCCTGAGTGTTGTGCTGCACACAGAGGCATTCTTCAGAGCATCCAGGGCCAAATGCCCACTTTGGGCAAACTAGATGTAGAGGAAAAGAACTGGTAAGAGACCTCAGAGGCCAGATAAAACAGGACAAGGAATAAGATCACTGCCACCTAGCACTGGTCTTTCCCAGGGGCAGTACTTTCAAAGGTCATAATCTGAGAACAAAATATAGAGGGTAAAAACAGCGTGGATAAGCTCACCTAGATGGCAGTACCGTCCATATAAACCAGGATCACACAAACAGGCTCCATAAATCCGATGACACCGACCTCTGTTGGCACAGTTGCATTTTTTCCTGCACTGTTTCCCATAAAATCCTTTAGGGCAGCCTATTAATAAAGACAGAGAGTCTGGGAAGGTGAGTCAATTTAGAACTGTCATTTTATATCCTGGGGAACACAGGAAAAAAAATACAAAAATCAAAGCCATATATCATTAGAAATGAACCTAGGCAAAGGATGCACTGAGTTTTGAAAAGAAAGCTGGATTGATTTTTGACCAAGAATATGCTTGGGTCTCTATACAGTAAGATAATGATAAAAACGATCAGATTTCATGCATCAAACTGCTTCAACAATCAGCAGTCCTGTCCGTGATCCCCCTGCCCAGTGCATTATAGTGTGTTTTATTTACTTGCTTATCCATTAGCACAAGAGACAGGACACCCAGCTTGCTGGATGTGCTGTGCTCTGAAGCTGCTCAGATTAATGCACTCCAGCATGATGAAAATGCATCTGTGAAGCAACGAGCAAATGCTGTTTGCCAGTAATGATTCACATTTCCATGTCACTTTTCACTTCAGTTGGCCGTCGAGCACATTACACAAAACACACAATACAACTGAAAGGAAGCTGTGCTCAGAGCTTTGGTAGTAGGCAAGATAGGGGGAATAAGGTCAGTGAGGGGGACCACATGGGTAGACAGGACCTCTGTGTAACAAAATGTGCTATATCCTCCAACCATGAGAGGTGTATCCAGAGCACCCATAAGCATTAGTACTTCACTTGAAAGTCAGTTGTGCTAGAAAGGTATCTTGCAGGGCTCCAAGAAGTCTAGATTTTTCATATGTGAGAAAATGATCCATAAAGCCATCCCTATTGATAAATAACATCGTATTTGCACTATTAAAGGAATAAAACTATTCTTTCTCTTTTATGCTGAATATCTTAATATTAGAAGCATATGTCAAACATACTGTGTCAGCAGAATGCCCAGCCATCATCCTTCCAGGCAGCACAAGCCTTTTCCCATTTTCCAACAGGAAATGCCACCCTGGGGCAACACATCAGTTCATCTTTTTTTTTTTACCTTACCTTCCTGTTCTTTCTCTGTACCCCTCAATCACCTCCTTCCTAGAGAAAGAAAAGGTCTGGGTACCTCTTGAATTCATTTATATTCTGCTTCAGTCTCCTCCTTCAGTAATAGATTCCATATGCTCTTAACATTTGTCTGAAGTCGTTTTGCCTGAATTTCTCATTGTACCACTATTTTTGTGTTTTTAGATTATGTTCTCAAGATTTTAACTCTTTGAGAGAGAGAAATAAATACTTACCAACAGCAACAGATACCTTCTTTTGTAGCCCTTTGGGTAACTGCTATTGTTGCAACTGCAGAGTGCTTTCTTTTTCCTTCAGTGGGAAATACCTCCTTAGTTCTTTAAATTTAGTATAGAACGTGTACTTTTGACATTCTTTCTTTGTCCTTCACTAAATGTACAGTAAAATATAGTTGACTGCCCATGATCAGAGTGCTGTATTACTGAGTAGTTAAGCCAGGACTGCAAAGAACTTCCGGTGCAAAGATAAGGCATATTAACTGGAACACCGTTCCATCTTTTTCTCATTAAAACATGTCTTTTTCATGTAAGACTATGTGACACACCAAGTCAGATGGAACAGTGATGTGTTAGAGTCACTCAGACACGGAGATGAGTCAGTAAAAGAGTTTAAAGATGCTTTTAGCAAGCAGCTACAAACTGACCATGTAGGGCATTCTGTGGAAAACATTTTAAGACTTCGGAGAAGCACAACTAGAGTATCAAACAGTGGTATCAGAGTTGGCTATAATATCCATTTATCAAATTATGGTAAATGCTCCACTAACATGTAACGACAAACAGAAATATGAGCTACCTCCTCAGTCCAAGAAACATCACTCACCATTAGCAGCTAAAGAAGATTGCTACCTTAGTCTGCCCTTTCTTTCCTTTAAAAAACAAACACCCAAGCAAAAAAGAAAACTGCCCGGAAGGCCCAGCCCTCAACACGCTGTGCTTGGCTTCAGGGCCCTTTCTGCATTTTTGCACCCCTGCAACTTCCCTGTGACTTGAAAAGGGCCGAGGTGAGAAAAAGGGGGATCTTACTGCATGAAGCAGGTGACAAAGTACCTCGATCTTACCATCTTCACACTGGTCTCCTGTGATCCCAGGCGGGCAGCGGCAAGCGCCTGTTACCGGATCACATGTGCCTCCGTTCTTACAGTGACAGGCAAAGCTGCAGTTCCTCCCAAATGTGCCTTCTGGGCAGGCTGCGAGGAGAGAAACAGGCAGATGTCAATAGGCTGCTACAGCCCTGCAGAGGGAGACTGGTGTTGCTTTCCAGACTTACAGGCTGTCTGTTGCCGAGTCTCTGCTTCAGTGTACCCCAAAACAGGTACAAGACAAGATTATAGTTTTTGAACATGAGATGAGATTCAGCTTTTTTTGACAGGAAGTGTTTTGCCTTGTTTGGACAAAGGAGCGAAGACACAATGAATTGACGGGGGAAGCCAGATTTTCATAACTTCAAACCCTTACTAAGATTGTACATAGCCACCTAACAGCAGACTTTATTTGGGTCACTAGAAAGGCAAGTGAATTCTTTCTTAAGGACAAGTAGGCTAAAGGGAAAAGCATTCTTCTCCTTAAGGCAGAAGATTAGCTGGGAGAAGGAATTAAAAGGATTATCATTAGTATCTTGAGTATTTTCTGAGTCTCAAAGAATGTAACATATCTAATACATTGTCGATAGGCTTATACACAGTCTGAGTGCTAACCTTAGATTCAATGCCAAAGACATACATTTGCAGGTTTGAACTGTAGACTAAAATGCCTTGAGATCTATTTTGGAAATGAGAAGGGGGAAACTTTACTGGAGATTTTGTCTGGTGACTAACAGCCAGGCTTTGCCAAGATAAACATGGCAAATAAAGGCAACTGGACGGACAAGAAAGGTAAGCGGCGTTAGCGCTGCTTTTGGCCAACTGTAGTTTTGCGTACTCTTCCTTCTCCTCGCTTTTGACTGACTTCTGGAAAGAACAGCTGACAGCCAACAAACCACCCAGCCTTCTCCTCCTGCTTCTCTCCAGGGTAACTCACTCTGGTTACATATGATGCCACTCCAGCCGTCTGGACAATCACAGCCAGTCTGATCCTCGTTGCATGTTCCACCGTTTCTACAGTCCTCACAGCTCAGGCTGCAGTCATGGCCAAATGTGTGCTCCAGGCAGACTGCAACAAGAGAAGCTGAGGATAGGAAGGCTTTCCCAAGGCTGCTTCAGCAGCTTTGAGAGTTTGGGCAGATAAATCCCCTATGCTCAGTCTGCAGCAAAGGTAAATGTATCTGTGTTATAATAGGTTCTGTGTACATAGAAAAGGTACTTGACAGAAGTTGTGGGTATGTTCACCACACGCAAACAAACTCAACATGTGTGATTAATTCTAAAGAATTCAAAGTAAAAGTATGACATCTAGCACTGCCGCAAAATGCCCACCAAATTTTTCTGAAAGTGTGTGCTCTCCTCTTGCTTCCATCTCTTCCTCCTCCTCTTCATAATCCTCATTAAAGAGCTGGGTAAATTCATCTCACAGGATTGCAACATGAGGGATTGGGCGGATAATGGGGCGCCGACCATCCAGGGCTTCCACAGGGCCATCTAGAGCTAGGGAAGCAGTCATGCAGAGTACAACGTCAAAGGGGAAAAAGTGAAAAGAGATCCCCTAAGAGGTGAATAGCGGACAGTATCTTTGTAATGAGAAAGGAAAACCAGAAATGGTATCTCGATAGGGTTGGCGCATCTGATTTGCAATGGATCACTCCACTGATTTCTCTCTGCATTCCTTGACGTTGCTAAAACAATGATGCATTCCTTCTTTCACTCCAACTTTGGCAACTTGTTTGCTTGCCTTGACTAGAACGTGGCACGGGCCAGGCAGGTGACTTAAAAAGTTTTTGAGAGTTTCTGATCTTAACCTTGACAAATGGATCTGACTTCTCAGGTGACTGAGGTCACCACTCATTCTAATCACCTTATTCCTGCAGTCTTTCTGATCAGTGCCACTTAGCTTCCTTGAGATTTCAGAAGTTACTATTTTTCTAGAAAATGAAATAAGAATGCCCATCTAACAAAGTTCGGCAATCCATTTCAGGTTGATTCTCCTTTTAGAAAGAGTTTTTATCAGCTACAAAGTCCTCAGGTGGTGCAGACTTTGGGGTTGGAAAGACTTAAAAGTCCCCCAATCAAGCTAAGCATAAACACACTTGGGAACCACAAGCAGCTGATGGGCTCAGCCTATAAAAGCCAGCTGGCCAGGAGGGAGTTAGGTGTTCTGCCAAAATGAGAGGGGGTATGGTGTGCTGCTCTTTTGGATCCAGACTTTAAAAAGCCTTTCTGAGAATGGGAACCCTGACAATACTGCTATGTCTGGGGTCATTAGAAGATGACAACTGGCTGTTGGCTACCCTACTAAAAGTGAGTGAGCTGGAAAATAGTTGGCTACCCTACTAAGTGAGTGAGTTGGAAAATAGTGTGCTTGGTGGTGGGATAAAGAGGGTCCCACTAAAAAACAAAAATTATTTCTTGAAAGGAAAAGCTGTAAAGGCTGGTGGCTGTGGAAAGTGTTCTGTTCTTTGGCTAATTTGGGGCCATCACTGCTCACTGCAGGCTATTTTAATTGTGGCTGTGCCACAGTCTCCTAGGCTGTTTTGAAAAGCTCTGTGACATGTCACTGAAATAGGAATGACCTTGTTAAAGGAAAGGTTTCTACTGGTGGTGTGAGTCATTTCAGCTACCCATGTCAATAAGTGCTGTGAAAAGATGGCAAAGGTTCTGTGCAGGGCTGATTAGTCCAGCATAAGTTAGTTGACTCTGACTCCTCTATTATTTCTCTGGATTCTGTGCAGTGAAGAGTTTAAGTGAAGAATGGGGAAGAGAAAGCATGCAGTAGCCTAATGGTTTACCTGTGCAATAATATAGAATATCCACTTACAAATGCAGGTCCTTCGGTCTTCATCCAGTTTGTATCCAATTTGGCAGCCACACTGGAAAGAGCCTATCTGGTTTTGACATGTGTGTTCGCATCCACCGTTATTTGAAGAACACTCATCCATATCTAGAAAACATACAATGTTTCTGTATAATGGAATGATGTCCTCTGTATGAGGCAGAGGCTCCAGATGTGTGTACAGATCCATAAGCATTTGGGCTCTAGAAGTGGTAAGACTTCCTTCCTCCAAACTGACATGAATTTTGTGTTGAGGGAATAAGCCAGGTGTGAATTCTGTTCTTGCCATGCCTCAGAACAGCTCTGCCTGTGTTGCTGAGGTATTTGCCTAATCTATAGGTTAATGGCATCCTCTATGGGTATGTGAAGCCATTTCACTCTAGAAATTGAGTTGAGACTACACAAGTTACTCGGGGAGGCATAAGTTTCAAGATATGGTGTGCTCAGGATCAGCCCACACCTGCCACTAATGGTGTAGAAGCACGCAGATGAACTTGATGATGAACTTCACCTTTTGTGAAATGTTTCTGGAGAGTTTTGCTAGTGAAAACAAGTTAGGAGGAAGTAAAAGCCCCAAATCTTTCATATTAAGAAAGCTAATCAACAGAGGGCTGATAGGAAAGCTGACATGAGCTGGGAGAAATTGGAAGAAATGCCTGGCTCTCTACAGCCAGGTGGGAAAACTTAATGTCCTCTTTCTTTAGAGCTTGCATTAGCCACTACCTTTCTTGTTGTATCTTATGTAGACATTTATATTTGTTTATACCTCTTCAGTGGTGCAAAAAACTGGCAGAACTGGCCTCTGATATTCAACAGAAAATTAGTTCTGTGAATTGCTAATGGAGACAGACTGGACACCTGGACTAACTTGCTTTGAGACATCATGATTTGGATTCACATGGTGTTCAAAAGTCCTGTTGTTGCTCTTTAGTTTAATTGGGGTAATGTATGGGTTAGAACAGCTGAGCTGTCCTAACACTTCTGAAACTTGGGAGGTTCATAAAATATGGAAGGACAGAATTGGGGACAGACCCAGCCTGAGTTCCTCTCTTGTGGTGCTGCAATCTGAGGATTGCAGTATTCCCATTTTACTTCAGGAGTTCAGCTAGATATTTCTGCTTACCATCACATGCACAGCCATCTGCATTGAGCCTGTATCCAGCATAGCAAGCACATTCATAGCCTCCAGGATAGTTGTAACAATCCTGCTGACAACAGGAGTGAGAACCACTGTCACATTCATTGATATCTAAATAAAAAACAAAAAGGGTACTGGATGTTAATACACAGCTAGCTGTGCAGTGGTGATAGTATTTGTTAAACTTGCTTTGTAACTAGCTCTAAGTTCTTCCTAGTCTGACTTTTTCAAATACCACCTGCAAGAGACTAATCACAGATTTGAGATGTCATGGCTAAATAGGCTTTGCCAACTTAGGGGGCAAAAAGCTTTCAAAAAGGCAATTTCACCTCCCTTACCCAATTAGCACTGAGCTAGTGTTCTTATGTAGGTTCATCAGAGCATTCACTCTGAGCGAGTGCTCTGACTGATGGGCCTACATAATCCTGAGAAAGCAGAGCACCTATAGCTCTAAAATTTGAGCCCTTTATCTTTATGGGACTCAATCTGCTCACCATTAAGCAGACTTGCCACAGTGTATTAGAGGGGCTTGTAAAACAGCTCACTACCACCACCAAACAAACTTCGGCTGAGGAGGCCTCTGGCAGGGAAACACTGATAGCAGCACTATGGGGCTACAGGAAATTTACTAGGTGTTGTAGTAAGCAAAGGCATAATGTTTTTTGAGTGGACTTAGGTCCTGGTCTCTCTTGCTCTTGTATTGGGATGGCCTGTGGAGACAGTTTCTACTGCTTTCTGAGAACCAGTGAGGAAAGTAAGCTTCAGGTGGTTTTCGCTTTCCTCTTATTTGACGGAGGAAAGAGTCCCACCTTTGCATAAGCAACTGCTGGTGCCTGTGGCAGCCTGCTAAGCAGTACATCTGTTCCTCATAGGTGTCCTGGGGAGATGAGCTCCCTGAAAACTGCAGAAAGAAGGTGGTACTGAGCAAAGAAACAAATTTGAGAATTACTTCCTGAGTCATGTGATCACTGCATGGAAATATGTAAGTACTGCTGTGCATCACTAAACACACTTACCCCTTGAGAGCAACCTCATACTTGCTGGCTCATAGAAGAGGAGTCTTTCAGTATAAATACCTCAGTATGCTGTTTGAGGCATAGAGCCTCTGACTAACCTGCAGGTGCAGGGCACCAGGATTTCTTTCAGTTTGGGGCTGAGGGACTGAAACATCCACCCAGCTTTGTTGTACAAGTCTGCCCACAGCTCCATTGTGAATGTATGAGTAAACCACAACCCTGACACCAGTGCAGGAAATGTCTGGCTAGTGAGCACTACAGTGAGGTTCTGACTAGGTTAATTGCTGCAACAGACTCAGTACTGCAATATAAAGTGCATACATAACTTTACAGTGTTTACAGAATTGAAGGCGCACTTTACTCTTATCCTCTCCATTCATACACCCATAACCAGATGGGGCTGAATTATACCTTGCTTGCAGGTAGTGATTCATCTACATCACCCATTTACTCAAATTACTCTGCTGCTCCCTTTGAGATAACAGGCAAGATGGCACATCTTAAGCATCATCCCTTCTGGACACAGGTTTCCAGGTATCTGAGATGTGAGTATCTACATTTGCCAACACCTTCCTAGCTCAATTTTCGCAAGAAAAAATGATTCATTCTGCATGCAAAATTACCTGTCCAAGTAGGTTGTGAGCAGAGGTTTGAGGCCTGCTCAAAGTAGTGCAATACCTCATCTTTTACTTTACATCTGTTTCTGGACTGCTTAATCTGTTATATGGTGTGTATATATACATTAGCAGCTAGCATATAAGGATCTTCCTCATAACTTGAACTATATTTGTAAAAACAAGAAATAAAGGTTTTTCCTGTCCTTACCAGTGCATGTCTTCTGGTCCTCTTCAAGCTGGTAGCCAAAGTTACAGGTACAGACTGGGCCAGAGCTGGTGTGATGGCATGTATGGGAACAGCCACCGTTATTGTCTTCACAGCTGTTCACAATCTCCATTTCTATCCCTGGAAAATGCACACTGGTTAGGCTCTCATAGGGTTTACTGCCCTGCTGTACCCACTGTGCTTGGCCCAGGCCTGCCTTCCCTTGGTGCTGTGCTCCAGCAGACACCTGCACAGGAGTTCCCAGCTAAGCTCCTTGCATGTGTGTTTCTGCACATGCAGCCCTGCTGAAGAAAGGAATGATCTGCAGTGGGGAAAGGATGAAAATAGCTTTGCAGAGGCCACTGCTGGACTATGAAGTGATGCATAAAAATAAACCAATGGATCCCAGGCAACACCATGTGTAGCCTTTTAGGGATAGACTTGTGGAGTAGGCTCTGGACAATTTGAAATGACCCAGACAGCAAGCAGACAAAATAGCTTCCCTTGCTGACTGTTGATTCCTGACAAGCTGTGGTATGTACTGCCAAGCAAAAGTTGGCTTGATCTTCCCAGGTTCAGAGCTGTTTTGATGCCAGCTAGAATTGGAAGCAGCAGAATATGGGTAGCTACAGAAACATCCAGGATGCCTACAACTAGACAAGTTATTGACATGTCAATGTTAGGTGCAAATGTCAATAGCAGCTGTATATCTTAGACTGGCAAAGGTTATGTAAACTTCAGTCCAGTTAATTAAGCTCCCCTAAACTAAAAGGAATTTGTACCACAGAGCTTAGACTCAGGCCTGAAACTCAAAATCTACTTCTACCTACAAGAACATTAGGGGGTTTCTAGCACATTCAAACCCAAGGAGGGTGAGAGAAGGGGAGCTTGAGGCTCCCAGATGCATCTCTGCAGGTCAAAACCAAAAGCTGTGCCATGATGGAAAGTTATCTTCCAGATTTCACAATATGAATATATTCCCTCTTTCATCTTTCCCCTTTGGTACTAGTGCAAGTTCAGCCAGTGTTTTGTTTAAAAGAAACAAGCTAAAAGGGGTGTGGTGAAAAGGCTACTTTAATGCTAGCACTAAAGCAGAGCTGCTGCCAATGGTTAGGGCAATGAGTCATGATCCTTTCCCTTCTGGAGGAGCTGTGTTGGAACATGACAGAGAGGCTTGTACTTCCACCACTCTTGCTGTCCCAAGTGACTCTCCAGGCTAGCATCTCCTGCCCCTGGCATACCTGGAAAACCAAGACCTGAGAGGCAATAAAACTACTTAGCTTTTCAAAGGCACTTGTGGGTATGTTAGCTGAAGGGTAATCCTCCCCTGCTGGGATAGTCACAGTGCTAGGTGAGGTAGCTAAGAGAATTTACTAGGAATGGACTCTGCTCCCTCATCTAATATCCTGTAAGCCTAGCTGGCTTTCTTGCATCTCCACCCAAACTGAAGGGAAATGTGCACTTGCACATGACAGTGATAAGCTGTGGGATTTCTCACAGAACTTGCAGTGTGAAATAAACCCTGCTGCTAGGAAGAAAGGTGTGTGCAATGCTTGGGCTCTTAAAGAGCATGTTCTCAGTCCAGTCCTTCACATTACTTGTTTTGATGCTTTTAAGGCCAGGTTGTGGTCTGTGATGCCTTCCTCTGCTCTTTTTCCAAAAAGCACCATTGCCCTGGCATACTCTGAGGGAGAGCTGCAGGGCTGGAAGAACACTGTTTACACTACCACTAATTATTAACATTGGGAATGCCAAGGTGGCTCTCTTCTCTGCAATGGCTGACAGTGGTAAGTGCTGATAGCTTCACTTTGGACCATCCCTGCTGATGTATATTAGCTGAACAAAGACATTGTGTGGAGGATCTGGCTAATAAGCCAGATATAAGACTGTTTATCTCCTTTCCTGATGGGAATAGATGCGATTGCCCCATTAGCTCAATTCCTTCAGTCACAGATCTGCAGGTGACTGAATTCATCCAAAGTCGTCCCCAAGAGCAGAACTTGGCCTACTGCTTTCAGATAGTTCCAAATAACTTACTATAAGCACTGAAAGTAGCTTCACGGTAACTTTCAAGATCAGACAAAAGTTTTTATCCCTGGCAGGAGAATAAACAGCCCCAAACATGCTTGTGAAATTACCCACAAAGACTGTATAATGCTAATGCAACAATTCACAGGAGATAGTGCCTAAACACTTGCCAGCTGCAGGGGTCACCTGACTGTCTACTTTCCTTTCTTTAACACACAGAAGCAAAACCACCTCCCTTTCGAGCCTGAGCATGAGGTCTGCTAACAGTACTCACGATAGCATTGTTTGCCATCTGCCCCCAGCTCATAGCCTGGGTTGCAGGTACACTTAAAGGAGCCTCGAGTGTTGAGACACTGATGTGCGCACATGGCTAGTCCAGTCAGGCATTCATTCACATCTAAAACAGAAATAGAGAATTAATAAGAAAACAAGCAGGTTGTGTCACAAATTCTTTCAAAGCAGCAATTGTTACTATATACCTTCAAGTTTTTCACCAATTTCTTGCACCCTAACTTCATTGGTGCCAGGACCGTACTTGGTCACCAACAAAGAAACACAGTTAGGAGTTCAGAATTATCAAAAAGCTTCCTGGAAAATCTGATCACATGAAACTAAGTTTTGTTCCAGATAACTCCAGCAGGGCTCTTGGACAGATTTCAATGAATCACCTGAAGGTTTTCATCTTACCCTTCTGGTAAGACTTAGGCATCACTCCATTAAATTCATAAATTCTTACATTTACTAACATTGAGCGCTACTTTACAGGAGAAGTAGCTGCTTTTCCCCATGGATGCTTTGTTGCAAGCAAGGGGGGGTAAGGGAACTCACCTTCACAGGCCTTATTATCCGCTGCCAGTCTGTACCCCGGTTGGCATTCACAATGTGCTGTTCCATGATGGTTGTGGCATTGGTGCATACAGCCTCCGTTTCTATCAGCACAGGGGTTCCTCACTAGAGATTGAAGTGAAAGAGGCAGCCTTATTTCACGCTATTCCTGTCTCTTCTTGGCCTTATACTTAGGGAGAACAAACATCAAGCAGTTACGGAAAGTTTAAAAAAAGCAATCCGTTCTCCAGTACGACATAACTCTGCTACAGTTCTCTGTACAGAGAAGCTTAGATGTTAGTCTCGGATGTCAGTCTTCGTGAATCTTGAGCTTTTAAGAAGAACTTCATGCTGCTGGTTGCAGGGGAGGAGAATCCCTCAAAGTTTAGATATGGGCTGCCACTTCCTCAGATTCCTACACCATATAACATAATCCTCCAGCAAACTGAGGGCTGGAAAAGATTGAATGTGGCAGTATGCTACAGAAGAGGGTAAAACTATTATTGATACCATGGGGCTGTGCAAAGGCTGTGAATTTACTAGGTGAAAATGCACAAATGATCCTAAAAAAGCAATTAAGGGAATTTATTTCTTTTAAATTGCAAACAGCAGCACAGATTATACATATTCCCTGCTCAGAGACCTCCTGGCCAAGAACCTTTTCTGTGAGCACCTTAAGTGCCAACTACTAGACCACTTTGTAACCGAAGTGACCCAAAGGTACTTCTGCAGATGGTCTCCCTTGGCAGCCATTGACTAGGTCACAGGCATACTATATGGTGTGTTAGGAAGAGAAAAAAACACTTTTTCTAGCTGAAAGCACAGGAAGATATTCATATATATTTAAGGTGTAATTAAGTCAGGACATCAATGATGGCATGCACAGGTGCAGCTCTAATTCATTTGAATATTCAGATCTCTGGTATAACGCCCCATGCAGGCAGAAGGACGTACGTGGTGTGAGATCCTGGAAAAGTAAGGGCATAGGCTGAGTTGAGTAAAACCTTTCCAATAGAAGGCTGGTATGGGCGTGTCCCTCTGCAGAGATTATGGAGCAAGTACCAGGCAAATTCATTTCAGCTGCTTCTATCAAGAGGTCTGCCAATTTCTGACCTGTTCCAGGATGTAGACAGATGCTACAAAAATCACACTGCTGAATTTTTAATATCCCAGATGTTCCTTTTCCCTTAGTAAGTTCACAGCAAAAGAATTCCCTCCTCTCCCCTCTTGGATGCCAACTGCTATGAATGAGAAGATTAAACTTCAGCTCCTTCAGCCTCTCTCCCTTCTGCAGCAGGGAGCAGGTCAGCCAGAAAGCTGTCTGCAAGCAGAGGGAGAAGATCCTGTTCCACTGAGACATGCTGCTGCTCTGTTACTTTCTCAGAAGCATGTGCCCTGATAAAATTTCATTTTTGTTGGCTGGGCTCCCTCTGCTCTTCCTTGGCCTTCAAAGTAATCTGCAGAATATGGCCATGACATTATAACATGCAGAACCGGCACCAGTTTTAACTAGAGAGAAACACCCCAGTCTGGCTTGACATCTGAGCGTGCAAGCACAGAGCACCCACAGTTTTTGGTCTCAACACTATTATTAACCACTTAATTATTCTTCTCCTTTTCAGAGGAGATAGGACCCAGGTTCTGAAACTGGCATAGGCCATGATTACCTCTGAAATACTCCAGTTATTGGAGTGTAGCAAGAAAAAAATTAGGGGCTTTATCCCACTTTATTAACACCAGCCAGTGCAGCTCATGCACTATTTCACACAGAGATACTGCAAGTGGACTGCTCCCTCTTGCTTGCCCCTGCTGGAAAAAAAGGCCAGAACAATGCTCCGAATTCCCGGTGTCCTGTAAGTGCTCAAGAACTCACAGACGCAGCGTTTGCCATCCTCCTTCAGCTGGTAGTTGTGTCGGCACTGGCACTGATGTTGTGTCAGAGTCACCTGCACGCAGTCATGTTCGCAGCCCCCGTTGTTCACAGAACAAGTGTTCACAGCTACAAGACAAAGACAAAACATTCATCAGAGAAATACTGTGTCAATTGAATGAGTATTTTCAGAGGACTAGGGCAAATCACGTGTATTTATATGCACTCACAAAGAGATAGCTACTAACAGGAATTTTAACTGGGGCATATTCAACCTGTACTAAAAAGAGAAGTTCATGGTAAATCTTTAAACTATGATGAATGAAAGTGAGCTGTTATTGCAAAAATCACTTCTGCATGCAGTGTACAAGAGAGGCTGCCTTGCACTGTGCTAGAAAGATACCTTGGGCAGCCCCCTGCCCCAAATGGGGCTCCTGCTCTTTGAAAACGAGATCTGTTCAGCAGTGTCAGGTAGCAGCTTGAATTCCTCTTTTCTACTATAAGAGTTCCCATATAGCTTCCAGCAGCTCTCCTGGGAGGATATGCCAGAATGTCGCTGGCTTGGGTTATGTAATCCAAAGTTAAATTTGGAAACACCCTGGGAGGGAAGCTAACAAAGGCACGTTTTTGTAACAATTGTTAATCTTCCCCTAACAGGTGCCAATGTCAGAGGGCAGAGTTTTGCTTGTTTACTCGCTACTTGGGTTTTTTGCTGAGATTCTTGTAATTTTGCTCAAAGATAAGTCATCGCAGATGCAATAGCACAGCCAGTTCAGCCTAATAATTAGTGCTCAGAGAGAACGGCACTCGGGTGTATTCAGACTTCCTTGTAATGGAAAAATGGCTTCAAGCCATGCCAAAACACCCTCATTATGCATGGCTAGGCCAAGCGGGTACCATCAGTTCTTTCTGGACCACTGAAGGATACATGTTTTAAGATGCATCCTGCCTGTCCACCCTTAGATCTGGTACGACAACTTCTAATTCAGAGCTTTGCGTGAAGGATTTCTACACAAAAATTAACAGATACATGTAGTCATTCACACTGTAAGTAACTGATGCTATAACTCGCAGAGTCATCTAGCTGTTTTCTTGTTAGCTGAGCCAGTGTTCACAGAGAGCGATGCTGGCAGCAAACATGATTTTGGAGTAAGCACAGGCAGGACTGAGACTTGAGATTCCTGAGTTATGTTCCTGGCCGTGCCACAGCATTTCTGTGTGGCCTTGCGCAAGACACTTAGGCTCTTCCTGCCCAAACATTTGTAAACGAGCAGAAACAAAAGGTTTTTGCCTGGGCTACAAATGAAAACAGATCTATGACCAAGGATGTGGACTACCTCCTCTTTAAAAGCTGGGTTTTTTTTTTTAAAAGTATGATTAACTATCCTTAAAAAGTAGTCTTTTTCTTCTGTTCCTATAATCTGGGATTTCTCTGCAGAGCAAGCAACAAAGGTGTGATGGTTAGCTGGAGATGCGTGCACCTTGCAACTCACAAGTGGGCAGAGCTTGCCACCTGATTTTATATTAGGTGGCAGCTACCTAGGAGGACTAACTTTTTGTTATATCCAGGAGAAACTTGAGCCAGAAAACAAAAGAGGGAAGAACTTTCTGGCCAGGGAGTCACAAACTCTAACAGATAAGCTATCTTAGGGCAAATACACGTTTCCAAGTTGTTGCAAGTCTCCTTTTGGACTATAATGTCCCTCCTGCAGTAGCCTACCTACTTCCCTTAATTGGTGAGCATCTCAAATAGAGACTGCTCCAAAGAGGAGCGTCCCTTACAAGAATTGAGCAACAGGGCTTTAAAGGCCATGCTCTCTCTTGGAAGACACGAATGTGCATGAAACAATACACTGCACATCAAAGCAGTGGGGCTGCAACACAACCAAAACCCCGCCACAGTCCGGAATGGGAACACAGATGTGGTTTCCATAAACACAGCGGGATGACAAGTTTTGGCCTCGAATACTTCCAACCTATTCTTCAGACTTCAGATGACACTAATGTGCTGACTATGAGGAATCTTATAAGGAAGCTAAAAATATCTCTAATGAAAAACATACATCTACAAACTAACACTTCTCAGGTAATCACAGTTCTCTCAACAATCTCATGAGTTTTGCTCATCAGACGAGCCTGGAAAGCATATGCTAATAAAAGTCTCCTGTTTTAATGAGGCCTCCGAATCCTGGTAAAGTTTTGTTCTATGAAACACATGTGTCCTGCAGTGCAGATGAGCCTGCAGGGCTCGTTTGTGCTGACTGGCTTAGCCTACAAACATGCCTGCAGTCGGTCAGTGGGCAGTACCGCTTTGGACCCTTTGCTCTTAAGCAGGTCAGTAGTTTTACAGCTTTTATGACTGAGGCCAGTGGGAAGGAGTAAGGCACCTCAAAGGGAAAGCAGGACAAACTTATATGAAACTTAGACAGCAGAGCTGTAAGAGGGTCATTGCAATGTCCTTGTTGGACGGAAGGTGCCAAGTGCCCTTACGCGTCCCTCTGACGGGAAGCTGTGCTGCTGGTGCTGCGGGGCGGCCCAGTGCACCCTGGCCCTAGTAAACAGAGCTTTTATTTGCCAGTTACTTCCAGGTGAAAGGACTAGCTCCTTTGGAAAAAGGTTACGAACAGATGGAACAAGGGCCAAAGAAGTACCTCCAGAAAAAAGACCATCAGCTGATAGATTAAATGAAATGTCAATCTCCGGCTTTTATTACTTTTTGGTCAAGTGCATTCCAGCTTTTAATCTGTGCTATCAAAAATCGCCTCTGAGCTTGGATTTTTCAAGCTTGCTCTGTGCCTTCCATTTACCTTCTTAACTGTTTCACCTGCACCTTTGAGCCAACTACATAATTTAAAGAGTGTTTTCTATGGATAAAGTACTGAAAGTAATTCGATTAAGCCTCTCTTACTCATATATTAGTGAAAACGAAATATTCCTCACCGCAGTTATTTGGCACAGTGTACAGAAGAAAAGGCACAACAACACACACTTTTTTTTGCTGCAAGCAATTCCCCGGGGGGGGGGGAGGGGGGGGGAAATCTGCATTGATTCAGAGCTCAGGAGTTCTCGGATTTAGAACATTTAAACTAAGTTCCCTTTTTATAGCTCTAATTAACCAAATAGCCTTTTGGGGAATGGAAGTGACTTAATTGGGTCAAAGCATTGCCATACACAGCATACAGCTGGGGCAAGAGCTATCAGTTTATGTTAGTTTTGCTGACGTTATTTCCATTAATCCATTTGGAAGGAAACAACAGAAGTTCTTGACATTACTGAAAAGCTGTAAATCAGAGTTGCATTACTTGAGCTTTAGCACAGACGGGTGGTCTTTTAAAATATCTTGATATATTAAAGCATTTAATATTATATATTCAAAAAAGTAATTAATGTGGTTGTACATCTTGGGAGTTTTTATTTATTATTTTAAAACAACAGTAAAAAATGTTGAAGCCTGCCAAAACATTCCTTCATAGGGGAAAAATACCGGGCCAATGTTTAATAAACCAATGCATCTTAGATCTTAAAAAAAAAAAACACCCAAACCCTTCCAGTATGCAGTTATTCACATAAATCTGCAGTTTAAATAACTGTCCTCCTCATATACCTCTAAAAGATAAGTTTCTAACGTAGAAAAATCTGAAGTCCAAGTTCTTCTCAGTACAATTTAAGCACACAGAGGAAGCAGAAAGAAATCCTTTCAGGTTGAATACAGCAGGCTGTCCAAAAGCCCATGGAAAAGGATTATTTCTATAGTTAACGAGATCCACATTTAGTATGCAGTTATTCACATAAATCTGCAGTTTAAATAACTGTCCTCCTCATATACCTCTAAAAGATAAGTTTCTAACGTAGAAAAATCTGAAGTCCAAGTTCTTCTCAGTACAATTTAAGCACACAGAGGAAGCAGAAAGAAATCCTTTCAGGTTGAATACAGCAGGCTGTCCAAAAGCCCATGGAAAAGGATTATTTCTATAGTTAACGAGATCCACATTTATCTCTGGGCTCCATTTAGTCGCACCTTGAGGCATGCCCACAGGCCACCACATGGTAGCTGTGTAATTATGGCGTTTTTTGCAATGGCAAAACCTTCTCCCTAAAAGATGGATGAAACTACACTATAGAGTTTAAGTAAGTATACGGTAGTGTTCAAGTACTCTGACAGATGGCATCACTTGGCCATCACAAGCAACTTGTGTTAGATATGAACAATTGCTAAAAGGCCATGCATTTCTGTTCAAGCAAGTGCTCCTTGTCTGATGTCTTTAAGTGCAACCAAGAACCAGAAGGTTTACTGTAGATCTTAACTAAAGCAGTCTGTGGACCACTAAGAGAAGGTAAAAGGTGCAGCAGTGAGAAGGTAAGGGTCTTGCAGAGCATTTTTGTTTCCTCTTGCGTTTTAATCTCCTCAAAATATAGCATTTTGGGGGGCAAATTTTCTTTTAAAGACTAATAACCCCATGTGAGCCTCATAATCCTGCAACTGCACGTGATGACTGAGGCCCTCGCGTTCTGTTTGTCTCTACCACAGCAGGAATGTTCCACACCACTCGCACTAATAGGAACCAGAAGTACTTCTCTGCCGAGAGACTTATATACAGCAAAAAAAGTAGCTGGCATCACCGGCTACACAGTACTTGTATGCTTAGGGCACATACATGAGGAAAAGAGCAAAGCAGTAACACCCCACAGCATTTAGTGCAGAACCACCCACTATGCATCGAGTAGCAAGGGTGCTCACGAAGCACTGAAGTTTTACTAAGATATGGTTTAATTCACTTTAAGAATTAGGAATATTGAGACAAAACCAACAAAACTTATGCTAAAATTGCTTTGGGTGTCTTTCGTCCAAGCAAGGGCCTTCTAATTCTGGGTCTCCTTAGTTGGCTTCTCTCTGAGTAACAGCTAGTAGACCTCACTGCTGGCCTTGTTTTAATTACTGCTCCTTTTCTTTTTTTTTTTCTGTTTACAGAACCTCTCTAAAAATATTTCCATTCCCAGATGCTTTTCCTAGCTTAACTTTTCTGTGACAACATTGCCAAATCCAGCGTCATCCTGTACATCACATGGATTTTAGTAATTAAAGTTCAGACAGATTTTCCACAGATGATATTTCATCGTCTGCAAGACAG